CTGTTATCAGTATTTTTAAATGAATAGCAGACCTTATTATAATTGGCCCTTTGTAGTGTTTTCACACAATGACTCAATGAGTGTACTAACAGGCAAAATACTATATAATACTAATAATACTAATACTAAATTAAATCTATATAAGGGATATCTAATTGTCTTTATCTGAATTTAGATCTGTAAAATCAAAATTTAGATATTTTCTAACCATAACAGTCTGACAGCAAGAATGTGTAAACTTAGACACTAGCTTGTGAAACTAAATTCATGTTATATAATCAGAATTTAAGGTTTGTCTTAAAGGGTATCAAGAATAATAGCTTAAATTAAACCAATCAATCGTAAATGTATCGATTGCAAATTTAGAGTAACTCAACTTTTTTCTTATGTGAAATGTCTGTTGACATCTTTACTGTCTCCTAATGACACCTTTGATCCAATCGATGTATTTACAGACGTTCATAAATCCAGCTGGTTCTTGAAAGGCAAAATCCGTGTCATCAGTGAATGCAATGACACCGTAGATCTCGCCGTTGTACACCACTCCTCCACCAGTGTCGCCCTGTGAGAGAGATATTGTGTGTTCTAGATTTTTTGACCATATACTGAAATAGTCACCATGTTAAAGTTGTAACACTTGTGATGACTGTAGAGAGGGTATAAGGTTGTGAGTCATGCCAACTCACATTACTTTTATCCACTCCAGCCCTTTGGCCACAGAACCAGTGTTGATGCTGCATCAGATCTTTCAGCCTCTGACAGTCAACAACCGTGGTGTCTGCACATTGGAGGGTATTAGCTCTCCCACGTTCTAGATGGGAGTAGAAAAAAAGTGTTTATTGACTACAAAAACAACATTATCTACTTATACACACCAACAAATGAACACATTTCTGCTGCAACGTAACACTGGAATGGGATTATTTTTAAATTCTATTCTTTTACGAAAAGCTTTCAAATATATTTGAAGACAAAACACTTTAAAGACAAATTAAAAATGTATTTAATGTTAATATGTGTCAGCAATGTTACAAAATGTACAAGCAAAAACACTAACTGGGATAAATGGAGATAACTGCAATAATAAACCAAACAAGATTCATCTCACCTCTTCTATTATCAGGGCCTACAGTATCTGCTCCATAACCTGCAATCTGAACTGCATCATTTCTGAAACACAGTAAAATGGAACATTTTTAGCAGTGTTCTTTTTAAAAATGTATGAAAAAAAATCGTCAGGAATTTTTCATTTCCAGGTCTTCAACAGCTGAGCTTTCAGACTTATTAAAAGGTGAAAGATCACAACTCACACTTTGGGAGGATTCTTACAGTCAGGAAGTGGCACAGGTAGAGCCTGAGTAGGCTTAGGTAGCTTCAGCAGCATGATGTCATGAGTCCTGTTGCTGCTGTCCTTAAAGATAACGGGTTCTGATTTGATTGTCATTTGTATTTCTCCTTCTTTTTCTAAAGTTGCATATATAGTCCTAGAAGTAAGTAAAGGTAAAAGAGGATCATCATTGGATTACTGTCAATGCACCCTATTTGTATACTATAGGTCAATAATTAATCAACATGAACACAAGCATTGATGTCTTTATTTTGGGAATTTACATCAAATCATTGTTGATTGCTGCTTCAGGACTTTCACACTGAATATGTGAGTGAGAAATATATTATTACTGGTTCAAGTAAAACTGTCACTTTCTCACCATCCCTGCTTCTGGCAGTGTTCTGCAGTCAGAATCCAGCGGTTACTGATCAGAGAGCCACCACACAACATCCAATCCTTTTCATTAGTTATATCCAACTTCACATGGTAAGGACGCTTTTCTTTTCTACACTTGTTAGAATCAATAATTCTCTTCTGCAGATCCACCACGGTGCTCACTGTGACACCTGAAACACAAATGTCCTCCTGTAAGTTTAAACAGTGCTGTTGTAGAGAACAACTTATTCACTCTCTAGAAAGTTATCAATACACATGATGGACTGTGAAAGTGTTATGAGCATTCCATTGATGCCTAGTTTCACAGCTTTTTAAAATTGGGGGTGGATGGGTCCAACAAAGCCAGGACTTTCACCTGAGAGCCCAGTGTTCACTTCCTGTATGAATGTAGAACCAAACAATGGCAGGGAGTTATCTATCGTGTGATATGTAGACCTGTAAGGCCACTGAGCTCAGCACAGCAGTTAATCTTACATTCAACTGGCACTAATGCAACCAATACTTTTCAAGACCTTCAATTCTTGTAGCATAACACTAACATTTGTCTCCCATCAGTAACACTTTGTCACCCAGAATGCAACGACCTAAAACAACACTAACAACGGGTGGCATTACAAAATGCATTAGTGTTGTCTTTAAAGTATATTTATAAGTATATTTTATTTATATATTTAAGCTGGGCCATCCTGGCAGTAGAAAGATGCAAACACCTTTGAAACTGGTGCTACGTTATCAGAGAAAACAGAGGAAAAGCACTGTGGCATTCGTTTTTGCTTCAGATGTAGAAAACCTACAACTACCAGAATGCACAGCGCTGCACCCAGCCATTAAAAGAAGCCGCCTGTGGGTGACGTAATGCGAACTCGTCCTTTTGACACAATGGTGGCCAGATGGTAACAAGCAATCATGTATCACAGTTCTACTGTAAACTAAAACATGTTTCTAATAAACATTTAGGTGAGAAATAGGCAGTGCAGTGACAGAATATTGGTTTATATTTGATCAGCAGTGCTTAGTTTTATTGTTGGATCAGAGTCTGGGGTTTAAGAGAGGGAGAGAGACAGAGACAGAGACAGAGAGAGAGAGAGAGAGAGAGAGAGGCAGGTCTGTTGAAAATGCAGAAGTACAGCCTGAAGTTCGAGCAGCTGCCTGAGAGCCAGCAGAACTCTGCTGTATGACGTGTTTAGCTGGGAGGGAAGCAGGCAGATGTAGGCACTGGTAAGATGACACAAAGCTGGTTGAAAGTCAGCAAAGTGTCCTTTTTATTTTGCATGAATTGCCTGTTCAGAACTGTTCAGAAAAATGGCTCCAAAATCCCTTTTCCATATACTGCTGAGGTAGTGTGGGGCTTCCAGAAATTTTCTGATGTGAGAGCTAATCATTCGCTATAGCTTCTCTACCTCTGAGCACACAATATGATGGCCACAACATCTGGTGCAACACACCAAACTGCAGGCACCACAGTTTGAGTTTGCTTGAAGTAAAGGGCCTGACATCTTTATGCTCTTAATGCCATCCACCATCTGCTGTCTCAACCCCTGGATCTGCTCCATATCACTCAGAGCTGCATCACACCACCTACCAAAACTTCTAACTGGCTTCTCTAGAAAAGACAAGAGCCATTCAGAAAAGAGAGAAGGTCCACAACTGAGGCCACTTCACACCTCCAACTGATCTAGAGTTCAGCTGTCAGGATATGAATGAACATCAGAGGANAAGGTGAAAGATCACAACTCACACTTTGGGAGGATTCTTACAGTCAGGAAGTGGCACAGGTAGAGCCTGAGTAGGCTTAGGTAGCTTCAGCAGCATGATGTCATGAGTCCTGTTGCTGCTGTCCTTAAAGATAACGGGTTCTGATTTGATTGTCATTTGTATTTCTCCTTCTTTTTCTAAAGTTGCATATATAGTCCTAGAAGTAAGTAAAGGTAAAAGAGGATCATCATTGGATTACTGTCAATGCACCCTATTTGTATACTATAGGTCAATAATTAATCAACATGAACACAAGCATTGATGTCTTTATTTTGGGAATTTACATCAAATCATTGTTGATTGCTGCTTCAGGACTTTCACACTGAATATGTGAGTGAGAAATATATTATTACTGGTTCAAGTAAAACTGTCACTTTCTCACCATCCCTGCTTCTGGCAGTGTTCTGCAGTCAGAATCCAGCGGTTACTGATCAGAGAGCCACCACACAACATCCAATCCTTTTCATTAGTTATATCCAACTTCACATGGTAAGGACGCTTTTCTTTTCTACACTTGTTAGAATCAATAATTCTCTTCTGCAGATCCACCACGGTGCTCACTGTGACACCTGAAACACAAATGTCCTCCTGTAAGTTTAAACAGTGCTGTTGTAGAGAACAACTTATTCACTCTCTAGAAAGTTATCAATACACATGATGGACTGTGAAAGTGTTATGAGCATTCCATTGATGCCTAGTTTCACAGCTTTTTAAAATTGGGGGTGGATGGGTCCAACAAAGCCAGGACTTTCACCTGAGAGCCCAGTGTTCACTTCCTGTATGAATGTAGAACCAAACAATGGCAGGGAGTTATCTATCGTGTGATATGTAGACCTGTAAGGCCACTGAGCTCAGCACAGCAGTTAATCTTACATTCAACTGGCACTAATGCAACCAATACTTTTCAAGACCTTCAATTCTTGTAGCATAACACTAACATTTGTCTCCCATCAGTAACACTTTGTCACCCAGAATGCAACGACCTAAAACAACACTAACAACGGGTGGCATTACAAAATGCATTAGTGTTGTCTTTAAAGTATATTTATAAGTATATTTTATTTATATATTTAAGCTGGGCCATCCTGGCAGTAGAAAGATGCAAACACCTTTGAAACTGGTGCTACGTTATCAGAGAAAACAGAGGAAAAGCACTGTGGCATTCGTTTTTGCTTCAGATGTAGAAAACCTACAACTACCAGAATGCACAGCGCTGCACCCAGCCATTAAAAGAAGCCGCCTGTGGGTGACGTAATGCGAACTCGTCCTTTTGACACAATGGTGGCCAGATGGTAACAAGCAATCATGTATCACAGTTCTACTGTAAACTAAAACATGTTTCTAATAAACATTTAGGTGAGAAATAGGCAGTGCAGTGACAGAATATTGGTTTATATTTGATCAGCAGTGCTTAGTTTTATTGTTGGATCAGAGTCTGGGGTTTAAGAGAGGGAGAGAGACAGAGACAGAGACAGAGAGAGAGAGAGAGAGAGAGAGAGGCAGGTCTGTTGAAAATGCAGAAGTACAGCCTGAAGTTCGAGCAGCTGCCTGAGAGCCAGCAGAACTCTGCTGTATGACGTGTTTAGCTGGGAGGGAAGCAGGCAGATGTAGGCACTGGTAAGATGACACAAAGCTGGTTGAAAGTCAGCAAAGTGTCCTTTTTATTTTGCATGAATTGCCTGTTCAGAACTGTTCAGAAAAATGGCTCCAAAATCCCTTTTCCATATACTGCTGAGGTAGTGTGGGGCTCCCAGACACTTTCTGATGTGAGAGCTAATCATTCGCTATAGCTTCTCTACCTCTGAGCACACAATATGATGGCCACAACATCTGGTGCAACACACCAAACTGCAGGCACCACAGTTTGAGTTTGCTTGAAGTAAAGGGCCTGACATCTTTATGCTCTTAATGCCATCCACCATCTGCTGTCTCAACCCCTGGATCTGCTCCATATCACTCAGAGCTGCATCACACCACCTACCAAAACTTCTAACTGGCTTCTCTAGAAAAGACAAGAGCCATTCAGAAAAGAGAGAAGGTCCACAACTGAGGCCACTTCACACCTCCAACTGATCTAGAGTTCAGCTGTCAGGATATGAATGAACATCAGAGGAAGAGACCACACTGGCTCATCACACTGGCTTCCTCTACATTTTGGAAT